CAGGAGCTCTGACTCGGGAGGCAGCTCCGACAGCCTGCGTCGCTAGAGAGTGCCACGATGGCCACCTCCGAATTCCTGGCGTTCTCTGCTTCCTTCCCACCTACCTGGCCATGGGCAGCGCTCCCCCCGGCACTGAGGTGGCAGGAGCCCCTTCCCCGCATCGCAGCGAGAGCCCTCGAGCGCCCGGCGCAGCCCCTTCATGGAGCAGGTGGATCAGGTCCCGCTGCCCAGGCCAGGGCTGGAAGAAGGGTCGGTGCTTTGCAGAGGGTCTGGCCCCACAGACCTGCCCCGTCTCCCCATCGTTGCCGCCCACCCAGGCACGGTCAGCTGCTCCCAAGGAAAGGATTCAGCTCCTTGCCCTTCTGCCAAACCAGCAACCAGAAAATTCACTTCTTTTGGAGGGAGAGATCCAGTTCAGGAGGGATTTACAGGGAAGCTTTGATGATGAGGAGAGGTGACCAAGGCAAAATACCAGGTCCCATGGGTTTCTCCTCCAGAGCTTCTACCCACTCTGCAGCAGGCCTCTTCTATGAGAAAATATTTACTTATTGCCCGTCAGCCACTCCCTCCATAAATAGAAGGCTAGAAATCCCTCCTGACGTAACTCCTGGGGAAAAAAATGACCATTCATGCTTTCTCCTGCCCTTTCCTCCCAGGTGCATCATCTGTCACAGGGTTGTTTTACCCACCCCCAGCACTGCGGCTCGCTTGCAAACAAACCACTGAGGTCTAAAGCAGACATGGGGCTGGGGAGTCAAGGGAGAAGGGAGCTGGGGCCAGGCTGTGCTCCGAGGGCTGGGCCAGGGGGTGGGCCGTGGGGCTCCCTCCTTGGAGGAACCCTCTGGCAGCTGGGGGTTTGGATTTTCTAACTGGAGCATGATGCTGGAGGGACCGTGAGGAGGTATGGAGACAGCCAAGCTGTGGTTGAAAGGGCATTGCATGGGCCAGGGGACCCCAATTCCCCTTCCCCAGAGCAGGCAGCAAGTTCTAGCAGTGCCAGGAGGATCTGGGGCTCCCTGGAGGGAGGGTCACAGCCCCTGCAGCAGGATGCTCTCGTGCCCCGGTTTGTTGCTGGGAGGACGGGGCAGTGCCAGGGGCACGGGGAGACCCCCCACGAGTTGCCTGTTTTTCCTGCCTGCCTGGGCAGCCCTGGGCCCTGGGGTTTTGTCTCCCTGCCAGCCCAGCTGCCTGCGCAATGACTCTGTTTTGCAGGGTAACAAAGGCTTCTCCCAGCACAGGCTGAGCCGGTGCTGAGGAGTTTTTCTCTTACAACACCTGAGTGCTTAGAGACGCTAATTTAGGCTTCAGACTTCCCTCCCTCCCTTTTTCCATCCCCTCCCCTTCCATCCTGCATGATTATTAACAAGTTTGGGCTTCATGAGTCAAGGAGGTGTGTCGTTGAAGTGTCACAGAAGAGGGCTGTGGAGCCAGCATCTGCTGGTGGAGGAGAGGGGGTAGAAAGAAATGCAACCCCACCCAAACTAAGACTTACCTGCAGCCCCCTAGTCCTGAAGGGGCAAAGCAGCAAGTGGAGGAAGGCCAAGTGGTGTGTGGTGTCCTGGGGGGGCTGCACGATCACCTCAGCAAGCCTATAAACCTGGTATCTATAGGAAAGGACAGCAGTGGGGGGGGTGTCTCCACCTGGGTGGTACGAGAGGAAGTTCCATGCCAGGAATCCCTTTTTCCCAGTATCCTTCCTACTGCTGGTTCCCCTTGTCCTGTGCCTTCAACCCCCAAGGCCCTCCCTTTTCCCAGTCCCTGATCCCCCACCTTGCTCTCTGCAGGCAGCTGGAGGATGAGGGTGGCCGAGGCCAAGAGCACTGGTATGGGCAGTGACTCAGTGGGGACCTGTGTCCATCTCCTGGGAGGCCACTTTGTAGAGCACAGAGGAAAGCGTTCCTGGTAGGGCTGAGCAAACGCTCCAGGGCTCTTGCTGAGGGATCAAAGGTGAGGTACTCTTGCAGTGGGGTGTCACTGCCTTCCTGCCTGGGCAGTGACCCTTTGGATGTCTTCTGCAGTGAACTCCCTTCCCGTAAAGGACTGGAAACCTCACAGTCCTTCCCCAAAGAGTCTCTCCCAGTTTGATGCTGAAACACCCCATGCTTCCACTCCCTGCAGAGACCAAAAGGCAGTGATGAGACCCCAAACTCCAGATAACCAGCATTTGAAGAGTAGCCTCGTGCCCCTCTACACCCCCTAAGCACACATGCATCTGTAGAAAGGGAGCAGCGAGATGGGAGGTCAAAAACTAGGGAAGAAAAGAAGAGGGGCTTCGTGCAACTTGTGTAAATACCAAACAACACTGACTTGACTTCCTCGTGGCTGGGGACGGATGATCGAAGCACCTCATCGGGGTCAGCAGCACCCACTGACCCTGGGACAGGAGATGGCTCTGAGGGTGGTGTGGGGCTGGTGGCAGCTCCCGTTCCCACCCGGCTGATCCGTGCTACAGGGACTGCCTCTGCTTGTAGAGCCCGTGACAGCCACACGCCCCTGGGGTTTCCCCAGCAGGCTTGTGTTGGAGTAAACCCCTTAAATTATTTATTTATTTATTTATTACGATTATTCTATTTTTAATTGTATGTCAGAATGGATGCAGGTGGTCGCTGTTACTGGTATTTATTTATTCTATTTTTATTATTTTTTTTAACTAAGTTATTTTGGGACCTGTTTGTTTGTTTGAATGTATCCGTGCCGCTGTTCTCGTGTGAAGGTTTGCAGCACCGAGCCCTCTCGGTGAGGTGGCTGGAGGAGTGACAGTCCCGCTCTCCAGGGCAGGGCAGAGAGTGTGATGCACGGAGGGAGGCAGGGCAGAGATGTTTGATCCTTTCCATGTAAAAACCTAAGGTTTTTCCTTAGATCTGCACACCAGCGTGGCGGATGCTGCCGCAGCAACGGGTCCTGCTGGAGGGGCTGCTCCGGGGCCCGCCGGGTGTTTGCAGGGCTGCCAGGGGAAGCCTGGCCCGGGCGGGTGCCAGCTGGCCAGTGCCGCTGTTTCCCTTGGCTCCGCAGCACAGCCCGAAACCCAGCTCCCTGCGCAGGCACCGCCGTGGCCCTGGGAGGATGCCGTCGCTAGGACTCCCCTGCCCTGTTTATCGCCACGCAGTGACCCGCCCATGGAAAAAACTAAAGAAATGAGGCCGTGTGAGAGTGAGCCGTGCTGGGGAGGCTTGCAAAATCCGTCCTCTGGTGACAGGAGCTAGCCAAGCCTCCCTGTGTGCGCACGTATATGTGCGTCTATATGTGCACGTGTGCATCTAGGTGAGTTTCCCTCAGTGGTAGTATTTATTTTTTAACTTATTAAGGGTTGGGGGGTTTTTTTGTACAACCTGGAGCATCACCCTCCCCTGCAGTGGATAACTGGGTTTTCCACTCTGCGCTTTTCTGTCTCTGTGCCTTTTGCCAGAGCATTTTTATTTGAACGTTTCACTCGTTCATTGCTTTCACGGTTTTTTGCTCCACATCTGGCATCTCCCGTTGCTGCTGGCACTCTGCAAAGAGCAGGACTCACCTGGTGGAAAGGCAGCTGGGTCATTTTGGTGTTGCTGAATCGCTGTTCACCTGTGGTCACCCACACAAGGGATGTCCAGGGCCAGCTGCAGCCTCAAGGCTTCAGAAAATGATCTCGGCCATTTTTTGGAGGCCCTATCTCAGGATTTTGCTTTCCTCAACCCGAGAGGCTCTTTCCCACACGTGATTTGGTTTCCACCCCAAGTCGCCTCTCCGCAGCAGGTCACACGTCACAGCACCCACTCCCAAATGTCCCCCTGGCCCCAGAGTCATGCCGCCAGCTCTCCCCACTCCCTGGACCCACCTTGGTTCTGGGTTTGTCACATCGAGTGAGGCTCATCCCACCTCTCCCTGCCCCAGCACTGGGGCCAGGCACCAGAAAACCTGGCACAATCTCTGCAGGTGTGCTGGAAAGCAAAGATAAGGGACGTTTCAAAGCACTGTTGTGTTTGCTCTTTTCTTCACGGGTTACAGCACTTGGTTGAGCTTTGCTTTAAGTTGACTGCAACTTTCCTCAATGTTTCTGTTGTTTTGGGGGACTGAATTTGTACCAAACTTGTCTGCAACAGCCAATCACTGTTATTTTGCTATGCATTGTATGTGTATTGATCAGACTGAGAGGACTTAGCCACTGTTTAATATTTATTTATTCTATTTATTAACCATTACTTTAGAAAACCTATTTGGGTCTTACTGTTGGGTCCACAAAGGTAGCAGCCTTTGAGGTGTTGCCATATACACTGGAAAGAGGTTAACAGAGATGTGAATTACTGAGACCATCAGCTGTTGGCACAGAGGCATCTGGCAGAAAAATTAGGCTTATCTGGAGCTCAGCCACCAGTGATCGAGGGAGGAACCTCATTTGGATGAAGAGGAGCAAGGCAGGGGGAAATTCTCTATCTTCCTGGACCAGCTTCTATGGTCCTGAGACCCTCATCCTCATACTATGTCCTACTTTGCCCCATTCCATGAGCTTTGTGCCAGAATCAGTAGCTTTGCCCAGATGTGAGCTTGGGAAAGGTGGCCAGCACAGGACTGGGGAGGTCTCTCTTGTCACCTCCGACACAAACCAGAGCTCGCTGCAGGCATCCCCATCCCCTTGAAAAAAAGCAGATGTGCTAAAAACCATGACCTGCCCCTGTCCTTCCACCAGCATTGCAGCCACTGTTCTCTTCACCCGAGCAGGAGGTGTTGGTGCTCACGGGCAGAGCTGCCCAGGCTGGTGGAGGCTGGACGTGGCTCTGGTGTGGGCTGTTCCCACAGAGCTGGCTGGGGTTTTTGTCTAAGAAAGGGACAAGTTCAGGTGCTTAAGTGAAGGCTTTGCCCTTTAGTGGCTGGTGGGGTTTTATTACCTCTTTTCCAGAGAATGAGTAGTTCTCCTGACTTTTGCTGCTACCTGGAAGTTTGCACATGACCGGGAGGGTCTCCAAAGCACTGGTACATCTGCTGTTGTAGCAACAGCTTCGTGGTCAATCATCCCAACTTTTGGGCTATTGCCTAGAGAACAAGACCCTGAACCTCACCAGCCTGGAGGCAGCTCTCCACCTTCCAAACCCAGGGAATGAGAAGATCTGGAACAAAAGCCAAGATGTGAGAAAAGCCACGAGGGAAACAGTATCTCTGTTTTCTTGCCTGTTGGTCGATTCCTTACCAAAAGACACTGATGTGTCTGCTCATTTGACTTTGTTGTAAAACTCCCTTTGCTCTCCATCAGAACACTTACTGTATCCTTTAGTCTTCCTGGGGTATTTGAGTTGTTAGCCTCTTTAGAAAAAGGGTTCCAATAAAGGTTCAGACAGTATTTCCTTCATCACGGCCCTGATTGTCATGTTCCTTTTGGATCCAACTGCATGCAGTGGGATATTTTGGGTTGTTTCAGCTGTTCCTCAGGGAAGGGCATGTGCCTCTGCTGCCAGCTGCTGAGGTCTGGCTCCTCGGGGCACTGGCTGAAGCAAGAAAAAACAGTTGTGGGCTAGTATTTCTGGCAGCTCTCCCGTTCCTGCTGGGCTAGGTTTTCTCCAGTGCCCTTTGCCAGGCACTTTGGATCCCCCTGCCCTGTTCAGTCACCAGTAGCCCAAGGCAGAAATGCAGCCATCTCCCTGTGGAGGTCACCATTTGGGCTCATCTGTGCTTTCCTCATAGTCATGCCCTGCCTTGCCTGCACAGCCATTGCTCCAAGCCCTGCACGGTGCACCTGCAACACAGGGTCCCTCTGCAGTCACCTCCTTGGCCA